TGAATCCCCTTTCTAGTAAATATTTACAGTCTTTTGTTTTTCATTTCTAGTCATATTCTGTGGAAATATATTTCTGAAACCTTTCTTGCAAAAAAATGTTATATGAGCCTTTGCGGTCAATTATTGTTTTTAACTACTATTTCATAGGGTATTGTAACCTATTGGGGGTTTCAATAAATAATAAATATTTATAGTTGTTGTATTAGCATTTATGTTTAGCTATATTCCATATAAAATGTAAGAAGAAACTTAAAGAAACTATAAATTTAATATCAGCTGGTAAGGGCATGAAAAACTTCGGTTATTATTGGGTTTTTTTTTCTAGGATTCATCGTGTCTTCGTTTTTTAGTTGACTTGTTGTTTTTGTTCAGTCGTTGCCTTTTGATGTTCAAATCCTGAGATTTGGTGAACTTTAACATCGTTTATGTCAAATTATGTCTTCATTTTGCCCAGTTGAGGGCGTGGCGCCTTGGGGTCTGTAACCATCCCCCCCATTAACCCCCTCCCCACCACCATTTTACTGCTGATTTTTCCATTCTCTTCGCTGATTTATGGGCAAAAGTGCATTTGGCGGCGGCTTGTTTTTGTTTACGTTTTACCGCGCTGACAAAACGTTGCAATTTTTTCACTTCTCTTGAAATATTACGCATACGCAGCGTGTGCGGGTGGGTGGGGAGTGACTTGGTAACGACGGGGAGCGGGGGGCCAGGCGGCATTATGACAAATTGCACAAGAGCCGCGCGCGAACTTGAGAAAACAAATGCGATAGGAAAACATGCAAAAAGCACAAAAGGGGGGGAAATACAAAATAAAAAAAATAAGAGTACACACAGAGAAAAACAGACGCCGAGCGATATGAAAAGCGTAGCCGACAACAGCAACAAAGTGCAGGAAGCGTTTAGCAAAGAGCGGAGGGGGCGGGGGGTGTTGGGTTTCAGGGCGCAGGGGGTGGCGGACTATGGGCGGTGGGCGGTGGAAGCGTGTGCGTATGCATTTGACGCTGCCAACGCGTCGCCGCTGATTGTTGTTGTCGCTGTCGCATTACATAAGCCGCATATCGTTTCCGCCACAGCGCCCACACACACAAATACACACAGACATCCGCACAGTGGGTCAAGGGGTGATCGGCAAACAAGTGGTAAACAATAGGGGAATGGTGGAAGGACTTGCAAAACTATAGGCGCATATTAGACTATAGTTTCATTTTAACTAGAAAGAATATATTTATACATTTTTAGCTTAATGATAATAAAAAACCCAATGATTATAATTAACAAAAGTAAAAACAAAAATAAAATATACAATTAAAAATGTTATTGTAAAAATGCATAAGCTAAAGATGCCTGCATTATTGGGAATATTTATTTAAAATTTAATTGGAAATTTTTATAGATCATGGTCCCATTAGTTTTGTAGTCTTAAGTAGGTTTAATAAGTTTATTAGTGATTAAATATATATTACATTACGTCCAATGCCCAATTCCACCCACTGTAGGCCTGTGGGGGAAGAAGAAGCACCAGAAGTCGAAGAAGAAGGGGAAGCAGAGTCCGTGTGCATTCTCCATTCCCCCACATTCTCCTACTTTCGTATTTTCGCATTTTCGCATTCTCCCACAGCTTTTGTGCACTCGTTCTCTCCGCTGTGTTCTCGTTTTCGATGGCACATCGCTCCTCTCCCACCCCCTTTCCGTCTGCGATCTGCCCTCCCGCTCGCACTCCCACACCCACTCGGCGATCGCATTGCGCATTGCGTTGCGCATCAGAACAACGTTCGACCTTGACAGTGAAAATTCAATGGCAGCGACGCCGCTGCTGCAGTCGCCGTCGCAGTCGACGTCGGCAGCGACGCGTTTGCAATTGACGAGCGCAAATTGTTGTTATATATATGTATACATATATATGTATATATAATACACATACACATCAAAATATATATGTATATACATGTATATATCTGAGTGCGTACAGTAGAAGATCGGATATTTTTAAAGGATTTTTTAAAAGTTTTTTCACTGAACGCCACCTTACAACTATAAACACATTTATTTTTCATTTATTTTTAAGTACGAACAGTTTATAGGTTTAAATCCAATTTTTGTATTTTTTTCTTACAGAAAATATAATAATACTTTTAATTTGACTTCTTAAATATGATTTAAAAATGAAAAATATGATATTACATAAATTTTAATTATAAATAAATGAAAATATTAAGTTTTCTTTACATGTTTTTAAATCGTCCAAACGTTCCAAATGCTCATATAAGATAAAAAAAATATATCATTTCCGGGGGCTTACTGTACGCTATATGGGTGTGTTTATATGTACGTTTGGTTCCTGCACTAGTTTTCGCAATTTGTAGAACTCAAACATTTTGCGTATGTTACCGTCTGAATGACCGATTGTTTGTTATTTTTGTTGCTCTTGCTGTTGTTGTTTTAGGTGCATTCGCCGCACGACCTTGAACATTGTAGTTTTTTCTCGCAATTGGCAGCGTGCGCACATAAAATAAACAAACACACCGCCGCACATGTGTGCAGATCGGCACAGATATGTAAATCGGCCTGTAGATATCTCTTACATACTTAGAAAGTCTTTGCCTTTTACACTTTTCTCGATCGCTGAAAATTGCAATTGAATTTCATGCATGCGCTACTTTATCGGGAGGAAAACATTTTAAAATATTTTTTTTTAGAAATCATAATTGTTTTAAAACTGTCCGATAACTATAATTTTTTAAAAAATTTTAAATTTGTAAATTATATTTTAGTTTAGATTTTTAAATTCATTTAGAGAAACAATTCTATATTTTAAAATGTTTACTTACAACTTTGTTTCAATTAATCTTGCTAAAAAATAAACATACAAAGATTGGTTTTAAATTGAAATTCTTGTTTTTACTGAATAAAATAAAAAAAATGAAACCTTTAACCTATTTTGGCCATAGGCCACTTCTACCCTTTTCTCATTCCTTGCGTACTTTAGATCCTACGCCGTATACCTTGTGATTTGTGCTTAGTTTTTGGCGAATTATTTTCGTTCTTTTTGCGCAACTAGGCGAAAAATAGCAAAGCAAAAAAAATTTAGACAAAAAGAAAAACCTTACCGCATTTGTATAAAAATTGTGTTTGGCAATGAAAACCATTGGGCATTGGCTCTTAGCAACATTTTACGTGCGAGATTCGAATTCGTTTGTTGCTGATTTCGCTAAGAAAATTTCAACAATTTTTGCACTTTCTTTTGTTTGCCAGCAAACAGTTTGAAAGTGCCAGGGGATGGCGGGGGGTGGTCAAGGCTTATCTGAGGGGGGAAGGGGAGACTGGTGGGCGGTGTTGGCAACAACTGCCTTGGCTCGATTGTTGGGTTAAGTTTTCAAGGGCACGCGCGTGCATTTTGCGAGCGTTCGTGGAATGGAATGAGAGAAGGCTCTTCTACACGGAAAATAAATAAGATCGCTAGGGATCTTAAGATCTATTTTATCCATGCACTTGGCAAAAAAATGTATTATCCTGGAAAAATATGTTGCGTTTTTAGTTTCCTCAAAAAATTAAACCTATTATTGCTCAATGCCATGGATGTTTTTGTGTGTTTGGTTGTTTAGTGTGTTAAGTGTGTGTGGTGGCTTGGAGGAAATGGAAAAACACGCGCTGCTCGCAATTCTAACACGATCAGTTTCACTTGCCAGAGAGAATAAACAAACACACTTAGACAAATAACTAAATTATACTGAAATATACACTTATTATAAACTAAATGTGAAGCTTGCGGTAAAAAAACCTACATATTATCAAGAAAAAAATAGAAACAAAACAATGTTAAATATATTTTTCACTTAATTAAAAAAAAAAGGTAAATTCTGATCCAAATAATTATTATTTTATAATAACTTACAACTTATTTTAACAGAATAAAATAAATATATAAAAACAATAAAAAAAAAATTCCAACTTCTCCCTTTATCACACTACTTCCGTCCCTCTCACTCGCCATCACTGCCTCCCTTTCGCACGCGTTTGGCCTTGCACTTACGCTGCTGCGTTCCGCTGCCGCCGCCGCTGCAGGCGTCGACGCCAACGCCAAGCTCTGCACTTCCGCACACACGACAAATAAAAACAGTATAAGAAAAAAATAAAAGCGACTAACGAACAGCTGACGAAGCGTGGCAGCAAAGTGCCACCTCCCGCTCTCGCCCCGTCCCTGTCGCTCTCAGTCCCCATTCCGCTCCCACGCTGCGCTGCCAGCCTCTCGCTCGCTCTGCATCTCGACGGCGAATGCAGCTAAAAGTGAAAAGTTTGCAAAAAGAATGTTAGAATCAGTGCTGATCTGGGTTAAGACAAAGAAAAAAGCTAGAAATATTTAACCTTATATTTTCGGGATCTCCTTTCCTTGATCGTTGTAAATATTCTAAGGAACACAAAAAGACATTTAAATAAAATTAGTACAAAAAAAATCAAAATTGGCAGATATAAGCTTCTGAAATTTTTTTTAAGAATACAAAAATGTATATTAACTTTTATTTAAAAAAAAACAAAAATTATAATTTTGGTTTTCCAACTTTTTATGTTGTATTTTTATTGCTCCTTTTGAGTTTTCTAAATAAAAATTTTATGAAGATTCAGGAAGAATGGAGAGGAAAATGCATTAAAGAATCCCAATGCGTACCATTCCATGTAAGTAAAAAAATTTTTGAAAGTTTTAAATTGAAAGAGCAGTTGACCGTAAGTGAAAGCTAACTTGGCGCTGATTTGCTGGCCAAATCGCCGGCGTTTCGGCATCTCTGACCCGTAGAACTAGCCAACTGCAGCTGCGTTTGCCGTCGTCGTCGCCGCTGCCCATCGTCAATTTTTATTTTATTTATTTTGCCGTGGCTTGTGTGTGTGCTGTTTTTTTTTTTCTTTATTTTATTTTTTTTTTTTTTTTGCTCTATCGTTACTCGTTTTCATTTCGCCTGCTGCGGTTTCAGTTGTCATTTTACTACAGCCGCTGTTAGTTAGTTATTTGTGTGCGTCGTCGCGCGTTTCCCAGCGATTATACTGCAACGCGAAGTTTGAGGCACCAGCAGCGGCAACATCAGCGGCAGGCCGCAGCAGCATCAGTTGCAGCAGAACGCAGCAACAGCAGCAATCGAAAATTGCAGCCACACATCCTTCCTGGGCGTGCGCGCGCGTTTTAAAACGCGCGCAAAAATCGCCTGGCGCTTGTGGGATTTTTTCTTGTGATTTTTGCATGTTCTTTTGCTAACTTTGCTGCTGTATTCAGTCGCTATCGCGATCTTCTCAAGGCTGCACGCGTTTTCTGCTGACGCCGCCGTTCGCGTCGCTGCCGCGTCGTCATCGCGTCTGCGTCGCGTCTACGTGTTCAAAGGCAGAAATTCCTTTCAGTTCGTGCCGTTCGCCTTCATAATTCCCCCTAATTATCCACCGCACTTTTAATATTATATATATATATATACATTTTTTTTCGGTGTTTGTGTAATGTGCAAAAAAGCGCAGAAGAAATGAACGCCACGTTTGAAATGCATGCATAACGCATATAAAGTTCAAGGAAGTCCAAAAGGCCAACACATGCATATCTCAAGGAAATAAATTGAGGAAATTGGGCCAAAAAGAGAAATCATCCCGTGAACTGATCTTCGTTTTTGTGTAATATTTATTTGAGCTAGAGCGGTTATTATTTTTGTTCTATTCCGCCGCTGCCTGCTGCATAAGCAAACAGGGTGAGTCAAGTCCCTCGATCACAACATGGCGTATACGCGATGCGTCAAGCATACGCAGTGTGGGCATTGGAAATATGACTTACGTAAAGATTTTCTTAGGTTCAAGCTTTTTACGGCTTGTATGCTGATCTCAGTTATGGTTAAAAAAAATATAAAAGTTTATATTTCTTAAAAATGAACCTATGTTGGAAATGTAATTACAAACTTTTATTTTATTATTAAGTGTTTCGTTGGTAATAAGCAAAAATTTAAATTAAATTAAAGTGCTATTTAGGAAAAACAATTGTTACATTTAAATCCATTCAAAAAACGATTTCTTTTTGCTGTTTTTTTTTTATTGAATGGCAGACTTTCTGTCGTAGCACCACAAGCTCAACTGCCTTGAACTGTCTCAAAAAAATAAATTCGCCTTTTTTGTTGGAGTTTGCACTAGTGTTTTTGCTGTTGTTTCTATTATTATTATTATTGCCGGCTTTGGCTTTATCAGTCATTTGCTTGTGTATTATCAGTCTAAAGAGCCGTAAAGCAAAAGCTAGCTGACAAAAAGAAATTGAAAACGCTTGAAATTCAATTAGAAACAAAATTGTTTGGAATTGCATATATGCAAGTGCTCAGCCGTTTTGGCGATAAACACTGCCGCTGCCGCTTTTTTTTTTTTCGCCGCTGATAAGGCGAAGGCAAAGTGCGCTCGTGTGGGCGTTTGGGGGGTGGGCTTGGGGGCCAGTGGGTGGTGGGTGGTGTCAGGGGGAGGACCAAGGTCACGGCATGCGTGTGCGATAAGCGAAGAAACACTGTGTGGACGAGGGGCAGATCAGGTGAATGCTATATATTCACCGCTGCGTTTCACGCTTTGTATATATAATACTAGACGTATTTGGAAGTGCTCTATAATCTGACAAAGGCACTCAAATTTGTACTAGAAGTTGGCAATCTAAGAAGGGAACTTACTCCTCAGAATCTATACATACTTCCATAAGTGCACACTTTCTTAACTCTGTAAACCGACCTAGCTTAAATGTTAAATAAATAAATAAGTAAACGAATAAAATGTTTCATAGAAAAATGTTTCCGCAATGTAAGGGTATAAATATATTACATATTAAGACTGTTAATGATTGTTTAACATAGCATTTTGATAGGTTTACTAATTCATTTGTCTCTGTAAAAGGCGAAATGATTTTGGGTAATTTAAAATGACTTCGATTTTTCGGCTTGAGAATATGAGTTGTAATCATTAGTTCCTCAGACTGAGCCTTTCTTATTTTTTTTTTTGAGGGATTTTTCAGTGTTTTTGCTCTGCTTAATGCAGCGCAACGAATTGCGGCGAGCGGCAAAAAAGCTTTTCATCAGCCCACAGCCGACAAACAACTAGCAACAACAATACCATCAACACACCCATAGACAACGGCAACGTGGCAACAACAACAAAAACAACAACAACAACAACAACAATAAAAAAAGCGGCAGAAACAACAGCAACAGGAGCATGAAAAACATTTTCCCACGATTTGAGTGCGACGACGATGACGTTCGTCACCTAGAGAGGAAAACCGCCCCCCATACCGCCCATCCCTCACCCCCTTTTCCTCCCCCTCCCCACACCACCTCTCCCCATCTGAAATTGCCTCTCCCACTCTGTCTCATCTAAATGCAGACGCCTTTCAATTCTTCTGGTGCTTCCCTTTTATTTCCCCGGCTACAATCTCTTTCTTATTTCGAGGCTAAAACACGGCGTAGATTGATTCGCATTTCCCTTTTTCGGTATGCAAAATTATGAGGAGCCATGCGAATGGGTAAAAAAGAAAAAGGGTTTGGAAACGGGCCGAGAATTTTCTTATTGTTTTAGCATTTCCATTGTCAGCCTGACACCAAGTTTTTCTCTTAAAATATTTTATTAAAAATGTAATTATAAGTTGTAATATATGCAACTGTTCTTATAGCTTATGAACTTGGCATAAATTGATTAGAAAACTTTTTCTCATAACCAATCAAAATGTCTACAAAACTGCATGGCAAACCACTTAAACAAATCTTTTATTTTTTTATTAATGTATAACTTTTAATTTGAATAATCGTGATACCACGTATTTACGAGGAAATTCAAAGTAATCAGATGAAATGATTATTAGTTGATCTAAAGTAATATGATCAAATATTTATTTAGTTCTAAAGTAAACAAATATTTATAAGCAGTTCGAAAGAAAGCAATTTTATAGAGAAGTTTAGCAAATATTCACTTAAGTTTTTGAAGTAATGAGACCAAATGATTTTTAGTTGATCTAAAGTAATGCAACCAATTATTTATTAGGAGTTGCAAAGTAACCAAATAATTATTAGCAGTTCTAAAGTGACCAAATATTTATAGAAGGGGCTCAATTGCAATTAATTGTGATTAAGTTTGCGGCGTAAACATTTTCGTGCTGGCTATTTTCTCCACCCCTTTTAAATTTACCTCCCCCTCCCCCCCACAATTCGCGTTCATTCGTCATTCGCTGCGATGGGTGTGGGAAAGTGGGCGGAGCAAAAAAAAAATTGTAGCCGCGGTTTTTCCTCCCCCACTCTCCTCATGCTCGTGTGTTGGCTCTTCGTGTTTCGTTTGTTGGCTGGCCCTTCCCCCTGTTTTCACCCCACTACCCCCCCCTACCCAGTTTTCCCATGTTTTCCCCTGCCGTGTGTTTTAGTTGTAATTGCATTTGTACAACACCAGCAACAACAATTGCAGCTGGGTCACTGCAAATACAAATATATGCATTGAAATTGTTGTTACCTTCGCCATGCGACACGCGCTTAAATTGAATTGGATCATATCTTTTTTTTTTCCCCCACACCATTTTTGCGGCATTTGTAAATTGCAGGCCACGCCTTTCCTTTCTCCCTATTTTTGCCACTCCCACTCGCCCACAAAAATGGAGCTGGTCACACTTTTTGGGCCACAAGCAATGGCAAAAAAAGAGAAAGAAAATACATTTTTCTCGGCTTGCTTTTGGCCATGAAGTGTCCATTAGTTCATTAGCCACAATTGACTGCTGACAGGAGATACTCTCATTTTGAGTACACTAGCTATGAAAATAGGTTTAAAGGTTCAATACATACATCTATAGGTTTGAATAGTTACTATTTAAATAAATGTATTAAAATTAAATATAATTTAAATAAGTTGTTATTTAAGTGGAATAGAAGAATGGATAACTATTTTTATAGTAAAGATAGCTATCTTTAAAAACTCAAAACGATTTTAGTACCTAGCTGTATGAAAATAATATTGCTGAAACTACAACTATATGTATTCCTCCCAAATAACAATTTGGTATAACAATCTTGATATATATCTGAGTGTAGGTCTTAAAGTGAGTCTGAAAGTATATTACTTATGAACTTTATTGGATTTTGATTTGATTTCAATAAGCAGTGCGGCTAGGGCAACAGATGGAAGTTATTGGAGTTCTAGAACTCGTTATTGGAGCTGCTGCCGTTGTCATTATGAATGAGTTTAATCAATTTCGCAGAGCGGAAAGGCGAGAAGGCCATTGTTGTTGGTCGCTGACAGGTCGCAAGTGTTTGCACTTGACTCCGCACCATGGGCCTTTTGTGGCCATGTCTTGGCACTTCCATTGGCCATTCCCATTGCCCGCTGCCATTTCCATTTCCATTCCCATTGCGATTGCAATTCCAATACCGATTCTGAATTGAATTGCCGCTTAATTGCAGAGCAGGGGCCATACAGTGGCCATTATCTTGGAGTTCAGGTCCATGGATGAAAAGCTGGCCAAGATCACCTCGCCTGTCTGTCTGCCTTTTGTCGGTGCCCACTGATTGATTGTCTATTAATAAGAGTGGCCATTTCATCTTCATTCTTCCTTCAAGCTCTAAATTAATTTTTTCTCTTCTCTCCATTTCGTTGCAGGTGAGTTCTGAGACGAGTGCGGAAATCTCTCTAATCTAATGTGTAATTTGGTAAGCCTGGAAATGATGATTTCCTTCAAGTTAAAGTGTAGACATTTCCCATTATGACGCTTCATGGTTCAATAAAATTACTGGTCAATTAAATAACTAGTTTAATTCGTGTAGACAAATTAATAGAACTTATTGCAATAGTTTTTTAATTTTTCAAAAATTAGATTGAAAATAAAAAATAGTTATGACCAAAATTTTTTATGTATTAATGTTTTAAAACTATCTATTTTATTTACAAGCCCCGTTTATTTTTGGGTATTTATAGTTGTATTTGGTAGATGTTTATTACTCTGGCATGATCTATATCTTTCTAAAATTTAATAGTTCCAACGGAACATTGAAACATCTGCCGTATTCTGTTCCCAACCCAACCCCTAAAATAACTTTCACTCGCCACCTAACGGTAGAATATGACTAGGTTGTTATATAAAACCATTCCATTTCCTTTGCTGATAGATTGATCTGGACTAATGGGAAGCGACCACTTTCTCCGGTGGCTAAGAACCTAACGGTCCATTTACAGTTAGGCAACAGCTGGCACTCGCTTTCTTTGGCCGAAAGTCACGCGCCAGGAAACTTTCACTAGACTAAAACCAAAAAGGGTTACCCTGCGGCCAAAAGGGTTTTTAATGCACTCTTCTCTCTGCCAGGCTCGTCTGATAGAAATCTTCGGTTAAGAAATTTGGGTCAACAAAATGAAACGACAAACATCTGCCAACGGCAATGAAACGAACGCATTTAAGACAAGGGTTCCGAGCCATAAAAATTAAAACGAGACAGAAACCGAAACAGAAGTCAGCAGGTAACATCCTCGGAAAATAAAACACAGAGGCCCCCTTTTCGGTTTTTATGTTTTGTTTCACTTTTAAGCTGAAATTTATTTTTGGCACGCGCGAATTTCAAAGAACAATTTGCAGCTGGCTGGTAAAAAAAATAACACAGCGCGATAAAACAAAATTTGGTGGGAAGCGGATCCTCTGAAATAATACTTAACGAGCCCTCAGTTGGCTTTTTCGAAATAAACGCATTCGTAATTGGTTTTACAA